TTTTTTTTTTGCCAGCTAATTTGAAACTTATTTGCAATGCATATTAAGATTTTTGCACACTAACTTTTTTTTTTCACTTTTAGAGCTTTTGACAATGAACATATGTTTGTTTGTATACAATTTCAAATTTGTTTATGGATTGTCAACAGTTTTCTTTAACTTTTCTTTTTGTTATTTTAGAAAGGCACATCTTGCTCCGTATTTACCTGGTCACTCGGTGGTACCAGTGGATGGTCGTAAAAATGGCGCCGTCAGCGCTGCTCCATACGGTTCCAGCAGGTGAGAAAGAAAAAGAAAAAATTTGTTAAAATTTTTTGCCAGTACAAACTAAACACAAACAGAAAATTAATTGATTTTGTTTAGTAATGAGATCTTCTGAAAACACAATAAAAGTTGTCTACTTTTTACACATCAAGATTCATTGTTGTTTAGCGTAATGCCAATCACTTGGGCATATATTCGGATGATGGGAGGACCGGGTCTAAAACAGGCTACACAAATGGCAGTGTTAAATGCTAATTATATGGCAAAAAGACTTGAAGGAGCGTACAGAATTGTTTACAAAGTATCTGTTACACTGAAATCTTATATATTTACGCTCGCATTTTTGCCATAAAACGGTCAAAAAAAAAGAACAAATTTTTACTTTTCTGCAGGATGAACAAGGTTTAGTAGCTCATGAATTCATCTTAGACTGTAAGGATTTCAAGAAAACTGCCGGTGTTGAAGTTAACGATATCGCTAAACGACTGATGGACTATGGGTATAAAAACACAAGCATTTCTTACAATAAATTTTTACTGAGAAATGCAGTGTAAAACAAAAGAAAAAAAAAAGAGACGGATGTCATACTACTGTTAGTTTGTAGTTTTCATTCGCCGACGATGTCATTTCCGGTTCATGACTGTCTCATGATTGAACCAACTGAAAGTGAAAGCAAAGGTGAAATGGATCGCTTGGTCGATTCTTTGTTAGCTATACGACAGGAAATAACGATGATTGAAAATGGTGAACTGGACAGGGATTGCAATCCGTTGAAGGTATTTGACAATAAAAAGCCTCAGTTTTGACTCGTTTCTTTTGGTGCAATATGCTGCTTTTTCAAACAATTTTTGCTGCATTTAGAATCGGATTTATTGCTAATTGGTAGTTGTAAAATATTAACAAGTGTTTCATCTTAAATGCAGTATATTTGATTAAAAAAAAAAGAATGGAAAAAGCATATGTATTGCAAAATTACTGCATACAGTAATCTTAAAGTTCCCCAACTAGGCTTGAAAAACGAGAGGAAACTAAAGTTGTATTGAAAGAGTTGTATTATAGCTTTTTTGCTCTTTCTTTTTTATTTTTATGACTTTGAACTCAAGGGTGGAACTTAAGGGCACTATTGAAAAAATGCTCAATGTGAAGGAATTGGTAAAAGCTGCTCTCTAAAATTTAGATGGCTCCGCACACTTTACCAGTGGTTACGTCGTCGAAATGGGATAGACCATATTCAAGAGAGTTGGCAGCTTTTCCAAAACCGTGGTGCTACTCAAAAATATGGCCAACTGTTGGACGTATTGATGATCAATATGGCGATAGGAATTTGATGTGTATGTGTCCACCAGTTGAAGCTTATGCTCAGTAAATCATGATCTCAGTTATAGTTTATTGCTCACATATAGTATTGATAGGTTTATGTTTAGTAAGCGGTTCTTACTTTTTTTTTTTGGATATAGCTGTAACTTTGGTAAATGTTTAATAAATGTAAAAAAATGAATTTTTCTGCATATTTAAGAAAAAGTAAAACAAAACTTTCACACGTTAAAATTAATTCTTGTCTTATTGGGTAGTAATTGGCACTAATTCTTCCCTCTAAATAAACATCATTTTTGTAGATGGAATATCAAAAAGAAAAATCTGTACGCGACTGTATGCAAAAAAAAAAAAAACGGTAACAAAAATCGTACATTGTTCTTTAATCTGTGAACATAAAATTGGCCTAACTGAACGGTACTTCATTTATTTTCATATTTAAAAACAATCTTAAGTAGCTATCAATTTCAAACTTCAAACCGTTGACTGTTGACTGCACTTAACTTTCAAATATTGACGCCAACAATGGCATAGATCAATGTATAACCAACTGTATTTAAGTTGATAGTATATCAGTGTATAGCAGCAGCACAGGTGGTCAATGGTGTATCAAAATTGATCTTTTATAGTTAACACTAAAATCAATATATTGTTGATAAGCTAAAAAGTGTGAATTGCCAACAGAATAATTTACAAAGAAAACAAGAATTGAAGACCAAAATTGTTTGAAACACGAAAAAAAAAAGATTGATTAACAAACAGAAAAAAAAAAAAGAAACGAATAAAAAAAGAAGACACTGTTGTTAATAACAGTGTTCAGTGCCAATCAGACGATTTTTACAATCAGACGATCCAAAAAGCAAACGATTAGGATACATCGATGTTTTAAAAAGATAAAAAACTGATTATTAAATATACAGTTTAAGTCTGTCGAAAAAAAAGAAAAGTATAAAATTGCTTTTGTAAAACGCTGCTTCTTTTCCAC